TTTCTGTGACCCTTCTAGAATGCTGAGTTCTAGGAAGGTAGAAATTTTGTCTTATTTACTGCTCTAACTACAGTGCCTAGTTCAGTGGTGGCACGTTATATGGAATCCATAAAAAATCTGTTCAGTGAATCAAGAAATACACACAAATGATACAGCATATATTTAAAGCAAGAAAGAAATTTGTAGCAAAGGAAAATCAGTAAGACTGTATTGAACAGCTCTTTAACTGCAGGGAGGAAAAGGGATTGGCGACGATGCTATGCTTGAATTCTATAACTCAGTATAACTTCTGATTTTGAAAAATGCTCCTTGGAATTTGCTAAGTCATCTCTCCGGAGTTGCCTGCCTACCACTAGTAGTAAGGATATAAATATGCATCCCTGACCCCAGGCTAATATCCTTGACATTTTTATTCATTTATCCTTAGGGGATAACCAGCGTTGAATCTTCAGGGAAAGTACAGCAAGACACATTTAATGACTTAGTGATTTTGCAGAGTAATGACGCACTTAGAGTTTTCTGAAACAGCATGACGTTTACACAGCATGACGCTGTGTAAAATAGAAAACTCATGAATAAAAAGTAATTCTTATAATCAGTTGGAACAAACTGGATCTATTAAAAACTAAAAATAAGAAATAAATCAGTTCATGATGATCCTAAAATAGAAAGCAGGAAGTTACCTTGAATATGCCAAAAGATTGTTGTTTGGCACATATAGTTTAAATGTTACATAGAGAAAATAAGAAATGCCATCTATTAATATGAATAAATGTATACAGTCCTGCACAAAGTTTTGATCAACATCTAAGTTACTATCCACTAGTGGTTGTTACCCCAAATCAGACTTATTCAGGCATTTGGTTAAAGGCTTGCTGTAAAGAAAATTGTATCTTAGAAAGGAAAGAAAATACACAAATATAGATTGTCAAAGGGTAATTTGTATGGGAACTTAAAGTTCTTTATGTGGTTACTGTGTCCTAAGTATGAGAAAATATAAACTAATCTCAAGTTTGTCAAATGAACATTCTGTACTTAACACACACAAACACACACAGACACAGACATTCAATTCACACACACACACACACACATACAGGAAATCAATCTTGTATTGATCTTTCCTGCTTGTACACAAGAGTATTTTACTTCCAAGCATTAGTAAACTGTAATTCCTCAATCAAGATAAAACACTTGAACAAATAATATACTATTAGTTAATTAGCAGCATTAACTCGTGGAGTAAGCATATCTCTCAATTTCTCATGAAACAATATTAAAGAGTGGGATCTTGCTTTTTACAGTAAGAGTAGAGGATGTACTTATTGTATTTAATAAGAATATTGAGTCCCGGAACAGACAGTTGCTTCTGAGCACACCCTGCTTCAAATGACACCTTGAGACTCTACTTAAAATTCTCGCTTCCTTTTTTTGCAAAAATAACTAAAATTGGTGGCTCAAGAGTAGCAAACATGACCTAGGAAAAGTCACTAATGGGTTGCCCACTATGTCTATCCAGACAGAGGATTCACAGATCTCAAGAGTACACAAACTTAGAACAGAGAGCTGGAAATTAGGCATTTGGACGTTGAACCCTATGCCCTATTGTTAGGCCTCTTTTGCTTCTGAAGAATCTAACGTCAAAATGACCCAGTTATACCACCCACATGGGTGGGCTAGTGAGCCCTAGAATAAGTTGTTTCTCTTTCTTCTTACTTTTCTTGCTACACCAGGAGCCCTGAGATGGGAGGGACAGGTTTACCTTCAAGTCTCAACATTACTTCTCACCTACTATGATTTTTGAATCATTTTACTCAAATATTCCTAAGTTTCCTCATATTATATAAAATAAAAGGTTCTGTGCATCTTCTAAGACCCCTTCCAAAACTAAAATTCTCCTTTTGAATTAGATTTCAGGTTAAAGTCTCATATTTATATCTATACATGTATTATATATATATACATGCATATATATTTTATCCTTGCCTTAGAATTAAGGTCATACAACAAATAAGAAAATGAAAATTAAATTCAGTTTTTCAAGACTAAGGAAAAGATTGCATGTAATAATTAGCAAAAAAAGATTGTTTTAAAAATAATCATTAAATTAAGGTGTTCTTGATGCTGTGACCATTTACGAAGTGTAGTGTTTAATAAGCACCCATGAATATGGTGACTGTTTAACGGCACAACAGGCTGTTTGAAAGTTCTTACTTTCCTTCCTCATAACTTGCCAAGCCCTAACTGCAAAATATCACTGCAACAATGAACACAAAGATCCTAGATCTATTTTACTAGCTTCATTGATGGCTTCCAAAAGGGCATGTATTGTGAAAGGTAATGGGCATTATGGTCAGATGGATTTGGGTTCCAATTCCAGCTTCATCACTTACCAGCTGGGAGACCTTCAGCAATTAAACATCCAGTGATTAATATCAACTTTAAGAGGGTGGAAATTCATCATCTTTTACAGTGCTAATAAAGCCCCGTAAGGACTGCTATACTGTAAATTATTTGTCGACTGTTTGCTGAAAGGATGAATTTCTCAGACCTCAATTCTTCATTAGCAATGAAGATAATTGCTTTATTCTAAAATTTAAAAGGCAGTTTTTGTGAAAGCCAATAGCAGAGCCCATGGTATGTTGCAGGTACTTAGAATATGCTTGTTTCTTTCCCTGACACAGTGTAAAATAAAACTCATTAGGGTACATGTTATTCTCAAAAATACTTATTTCCAGTACAGTATTTACAAAATCCATGAAGCATGCCAATATATATAATATCAATTAAATTACACAATAATTGATAACTCAGGATGACAAAAAAATGCTCTTTTCATTACTGTTTTATTCCTGTAATTACAACTATTGCCATTTGCTATGGTCACTCTCATGTGTTCTCATTTTATTAATTTCTGTGACCAATCTCAAGAGGATACTTTTGCTTAAAGGTAACCTGCTGTATTAGATTCCTAAATCCTCAAGGTCAGGGACAGGGCCTCACATATAGCATCTGGATGAACTATAAGAAATTGCTCATATTTGGCCAACTATGACATATAGGAATAGCAACTCAATGTGCTTCAGCCAGTAGCTAGTCAATAAATATTTATTTTTTTAAATGTATGGATAAAACAGTAACTTTGCATTTACTTTTTAATTCTAGGCATACACTGTAGAGTTGGCCCAGAAGTGATGCTCCAATGCATGATTATAAGCGTAATATAAACAATTCACTAAGATCATCAGGCAAATGTCTCGCTTTGCTCCTGCATCACTGAAACGCACTAATTCCTTGCTTGCATTGTTTATTTTATATGAGATATATCCCCTGCCCACCCAACAACCTCTACAATGTCCATTCCACCAACTCCTTAATATTCAGGTCAAATGTTGCCTCCTCTATACGGCTCCCCCAGGCATGCTATTTCTGTGTTCCGACTCTGCACCTCTATCTATAAACACATCTCAGGAATATGTGTGTGTGTGTGTGTGTGTGTGTGTACACACCCGCATATGTACACATATGTATAGAATTTGCATACATAGCCTACATACATCTATCTATAGATACATATCTGTACACATCAACACATGTCTGTCTGTACATATATTTGTATAAATGTAGATACATCTATATAGATAGATGTATATGGATGTATAGAGAATGTATATGGATCATATATACTATAGGAATCTGTTCTTATGAGTATGTCTCTGCTTTTACCTATTTTGAAAGGAAGTAGTTATCCAACCCCAAATTTAGAAGTACACTGAAAGGACCTTTGATTTCTCAAGGTATTTCATTTGAAAAAATAACATACTGTCCACCAAGACTGAATCAAGAAGAAACTGAACAATTGAACTGAACAATCCGATCCGATCACTAGAAAGGAAATAGAAATAGCAATTAAAAACCTCCCTACAAATAAAAGTCCAGGACCGGACGGCTTCACCGGGGAATTCTACCAAACATACAAAGAAGAACTCATACCAGTCCTTCTCAAACTCTTCCAGATGATTGAAAAGGAGGGAATACTCCCAAACTCATTCTATGAAGCCACCATCACCCTGATACCAAAACCAGGCAAAGACACTACAAAAAAGAGAATTATAGGCCAATATCACTGATGAACATAGATGCCAAAATCCTCACCAAAATTTTAGCAATAGAATCCAACAACACATAAAAAAGATTATACATCATGACCAAGTGGGGTTCATCCCAGGGACACAAGGGTGGTTCAACATATGCAAATCAATCAGTGTAATACATCACATCATCAAGAGAAAGGACAAAAACCACATGATCATCTCAATCGATGCAGAAAAAGCATTTGATAAAATTCAACACCCATTTATGATAAAAACTCTCACCAAAGTGGGTATAGAGGGAACATATCTCAACATAATAAAAGCTATATATGACAAACCTACAGCCAGCATAGTTCTCAACGGTGAAAAACTCAAAAGCTTCCCACTAAAATCTGGGACAAGACAAGGATGCCCACTATCACCACTCCTATTCAACATAGTCCTGGAAGTCCTAGCCACAGCAATCAGGCAAGAGAGAGAAATAAAAGGGGTCCAAATTGGAAAAGAAGAGGTAAAAGTGTCACTATACACCGACGACATGTTACTATATATAGAAAACCCCAAAAGGTCCACACAAAAACTGCTAGAGCTGATTGAAGAATTCAGCAAGGTAGCAGGTTACAAAATTAACGTTCAAAAATCTGTAGCATTTCTTTACACTAATGATGAATCAACAGAAAAATAAAGACACTGGTTTATTTTAGAGTTTCCTTATAGATAAATCAGACTTTAAAAATTTGCACAGCAAGTCTTTTCCCACATGTTACCAGGGAAAGCATAGAAATTCCTGGATTATATGAAACAGAATAATGAGAGATTCTAGATTATGTAAAATACAAACAAGGTGACAAATGTCCACTGTGTACATTTCATTAATATATATTAAACAAATAAACAAAAACTTACCAGTCTCAGAAGTCCTTACGGAGAGTAAAGAAGACAACTGATTGCCGTGACCAACCCTGGTATACGATCTTAAGGAAATGTTATAGAGGGTGTAAGGTTTTAAGCCGCTTAAAATTACATCTGTGGTTGAAGTGTTCTTCATAAATAAGGTATCCAGATTTTTACAGAGTACTTCATAGGCAACAATAACCCCATTGGGTTTCTCAGGTGGTAACCACTTCAAACTTATTTCACTAGCAGTAACATCAGTAACTTCAACGTCTTGAGGGGATGATTCTGGTTCTGGAAGAAGGAAGCACAATTTTAAATGTATGTATTTTCTCGTGCTGACTGCTTGAGACACGAATGGCAGCATGAGGTCGATGGCAGTAAGCACACAAAACCACTTGCTTCTTGATACTAAAATTGCACCTGACGTTCTTACCATCTTCTGGAGTCCTCACAAAGATGTCATTTTCTTCAGACAAAGAACTTTCTCCAACATTGGTTGAGGCAGCCACTCTCATTTTATATTTCGTGTATTTCTTTAACCCTATAAGGACAACAGGCGATTTGTTTAAAGTCCTTAAAATAGCACTCCTGGATCAGTGCCGGCTAACATAGGACTAGTGAAAATGACTTCTTGGGGAGACTGGTTCTCCACATCAGCCTCCTTATAACCCCAATCTCCCCAGCTTCCTTGGGATGAGAGCCTTTCCCTGTTGATGATGTTTTAGTTCTTTCCTAAAATATAAAGGCAACAATCTGAGGCTGAAAACTGATTTTTGGCACACTGGGAGGAATGTAGTTGATTTGGCACAAACACCACATCAGCTCAACTACTTCAGCTGATTGTCACATACAATCAATCAAACCTTCATTCCTGAGTTATTTCGATGTACCAGGCACAAAATTCCCTGAGCTATATATTCCTAAGATATTTGTGGTCTGATGATTTTATTTCTTAGCAGATAAATACAGTTAAAGAAAAACACATTTAATAAGTTATTTCTGCAAGTATTTTTCAAGACATCTATGGGAGCATAGCACGACAAAATCTGAATGATGCAACATGTATCCTGCAATGTTTAAGGCATAGAGAGATGTATATTTTCCATCAGAAGAATGTTAAAACAGAACAAAACAACTTTGTTCTACCTGTTATGAGAAAGCTGTTGTCTAAAGTAGTCATCTGGAATGCTCTGTTTGTATCCAGTTCCACTGCATAAATTGTATAATGAGTTATTTTTCCATTGGGATATTCTGGAGGATCCCAATATAACAAAATAGACGAAGAGCTAATATTTTTATAGTTTATAACTTGAATGGAGCTTGGCACTTGAGAAGAAGAACGAGCAATTAATATGAATGAAAAGAAAAAGGATTACAAAGGTCAAGAGCAATAAATATTTGGTAATTGTTTCGAATGAAATACACTCTTACCTTGCTCATGTGTCCTAACATGGAGAACCGTTGGTGGTCCTTCTCCCATGATGGTGAAAGCAGATACACTAATCATGTGCTCAGTGAAAGGGACAAGCTTCCTGATAACGTAAGACAGCTGTTCGGCTGCTACATCCGTGATGTACTGATTCCTTGCAGTTCCTGTTTGAAATTAGTTTAAAAAAAAAATAGATGTTTGGCTTCATGATCAAAATTATTTTTACCCACACAGTAAAATCTTAAACCAGATTTCCCAATGTCTCCATGTAATCCTTTATATAAAAGGTAGATATAGAATTAATAACAGACATGCTGAATATATCCCAACAGTATCTATAAACATTTGTGCTCATATATAGTTTTGTTAGTTGTTATTAACTATCCTAGAACATGAGGTGAGTGTTTTGAGAAAACATCACTTTCTACAAAAGATGGGCTAGGAATTTTTTTCTGAAAAGACAATTAGGCAAAAAATGAAATTGATATATTGTAAGTCAATGTTGGGTTATACTATGAAAATCACAGAAATAAGACTTTATGTGAACTCAAAATTCACTATACATTTGCTAAACCCATTAATGATTTAAGGCAAGCATGCTTATGTAACTGTCACATAAATATATCTAGATAAGGATTTCAAAAAAATGTTGGGTTTTTTTTTCATTTACTTAGAACTTGTGCTTCCAACAATGTTGATTAGCATTTAGACCAAACTAAGTATTTAAGAAAACATCTGTAGCAGAAATCATGGGCCTCTTAATTTTTAGTGTTGCCCCAGTCTTCTTTGCACAGGAAAAACAGACCAGTAAATGAAATAAGCATATATTGAATGTAATGTGATACTTCTGACTAATTCTACCATCAAGAAAATAATGTCACTTACTTTTAATTTGGAATGGGACAAATATCAAATCGGAGAAAAAGCAACAACAAAAAAATTCTTCTCACTTAGCCTTTTAGAAAAACCAGAGAGATCATTTAGATGTGTGTCTTCTAACCAAGTATTTTTAAATTTTCTATATATGACATTGTCCTTTTAGAAACCATAAGATCCACTGACCCTGAGGAGCAAGTGCACACACTAATGACATCACCACGTCGTCGGGGTCGCCTACACCTGTTTATCACCCCATGCGCTAGAGTTGTAACTTTCTGACCTATTTGCCTTCAGTGACATTTGAAAACCTATTAGTCAAAAGCCGCAGAGAGTGTGAGGCCTGTAAATGATTTGAAGATATGTTAATCCCTCCCCATCACACCTGCTTTGGCAACTGTAACAACTGATTGTCTATGCAGCTTGGCCAGACTCTAGGGTGCTACTTTCCCTCCGAGGAAGGTCAGATGGGTTAGGAGGGGCCAGCTCCTGCCTGTGTGGCATTTCCATTTGCTGCATGAGGTTATCCAACAGTTACAGAAGAAAAAAAAAATCTGGCTCCATCTCATGGACCATTAATAACTGGGTTGAACTCCCAGCTAAGGTTCATATCTGTGCCGGCTAATACTAGTAGTTTAAATAAGCTTCACAGGAAAAAAAAGGAAAATGCACCTACCAACTGTTGAAGGCTGGCCATCAGCTCTACTCCTCGCTGGGAAGTTACTATGTGGGTGACTGTTATACGTAACTGAAGCAAGCAAGTGCAGGTCAGAAGACATCTCTGCTGAACCTTCAAATAATCCTGCCATTGACTCTACTATATTCACAGCTTCTGGCGCCAGGGGGTCACTTATATACTGTAATTAAAAATAGATATTTACAAGACTGCTTGCGACAGTTATGCTTAATAATGGCTTCACTCAAGCACTAATTCCAACAATCAGTGATTTTGAAATCACGTTTTTAAAAAGTATTATAATTTCCATGACTACTGTTGCCTTTACATTCTAAGATTTCATTCTAACGCTACTAAAAATCCTGCATCATTGTAACACACTGTGAGCACTTCCATATCTTAAGAGTCCAATACCATATTGTGGGAAGAAGCAGACATTTGTTTCTGACCTGAGTTAGTTTCTTTATGGTAACATTACACATCCTCATGCAAAGGTTTCACAGCTAAAATATTTTAACTGCTCAACCCTCAAAAGTAAGTGTTCTAGGCATACTGCCTTATTAAAATGGGTTTTGCTTCATTATCTATGTGTCCTTATTTGCACACCAGGAGTGAGCAGCTTGAGTGCCTACTGGGTACATATCAGTAATAATAGTTTAACTGAGTGATGTTACAGACATGATCAAAACTGCATGGCAATTGTTTTCTAACAGGGTTCACGGCAGACCTATCCAAGGCTCTGGATAGGTCTAAGCAATATTTTAAGTAACTGATTGTTCCTAGATGCCAAAATGTGCTTTATACATGTGACGTTCACCAAAGTAGCAGATACTAAAGTGAAATCAAAACATCAGAAAAATTTTTTAAAAATTAAATAAAAATCTTAAAAAATTAAAAATAAATAAAAAATTTAAATTTAATTAAGAAAAGAATTATTAAAAACATCAGGAAATTACAGATATATACAGTAGAGTTTTATGTTGGGACAATAAGAAAACTCTCTTCTTTTCCACACAACAGAATGAGAAGAGGGTGTTTTGGCCAAATAATATTAGATATTTGTGTAGATCATCAACCTTGGAGATAAGGCTAAAGATTAATCAAAGAAAATGTTGCCTTAACAGGCTTAACAACCGAATACAATGTGTAGACTTGATTCTAAGTAGGACATACCTACCAACGTAGGCTCTGAAGATACTCAGTGAAATGTGAGTATGGTCGAGGACTTAGATGATACCAAGACAAGATTAGTAGTTTTGTCAATTGTGGTAATGGAATTATGGAATCAATTAAAATGTCCATGTTTTGGGGGACCCATTCTTAGGCATGTAAGAGCAAAATGACACGAAGTCTGGAATTTATTTTAAAATATGTCTGCATCAGCAGCAGCAGCGACAGACAGCGAAGGCAAGAAAAGCAGCATGTTGATAATTATTCCATCCAGGTCATGGGTTAACATGGGCTCATGATACTCTTTTTTCTCCTTTTATATCTGTTCAGACTTTTCCAAAAGTAAAGAGTTTTGAAAAAAGAAAATGTTGCAAGAACTACTCTTTTTGTCACTTCCTTTTCAAGTGCTTCAAAACTCACCTCTGAACCCTTTAAAAAAAAAAACTATTCTATTCCTTCTCAATTTCAGCCTCTTG